CGCAGTGAGTGGTCGTTTTTTAACTGCTTGGATTGCAGCTTAGAAGCGCAACTTTTCAGGTATTGGTCAGCTCAGACAATGTGCGGCAGCTGATGGACAGTACAAGGCAAACATATCGAGACAGCGCGACAAAATCAACTTGTCGAGCTTTGCACAGTTGCTCAACATGGTGCTTTCTATAGAATCCATCTTCACCTGAGGCCAGGCTTCATTCAAAGCCGCGTCCGGTGCGCTGGGCCTGCTCCAACAATGCAGTTCCACGGTCGCTGTGATGATGCAACGATCCGCAGAGCACTGCAGTGTGAAAGGCCTGACTTCAGCAAAGGACACTTGGTACAACAGATTCAATATTCTTGTGTTTGTATTTTACTTGGCAGCTTTGTTGAAAGCAGTTACAAAGACGCACTTGTGCAAACACAACACTATTCGCACGGCAAAGAGAGCAGCACGAGCAGCAAGCACTCCAAGAAGTTCTTGTAATTTTTCTGGCTTCAAAATCACATGGAACCCACAGACGGGTGGCAAGGGTGGAACTGAGGTCTTTCTGACTTGCTGCCCTATGCCAAACCCATGATGGGGCCACTGGTCTTTGACTGTCACAAAGCACAAGATGTGCTCGTGCTAGGTCTCGGAGGCCATTCGACCCGAGAAGCAAAGCCGAGAGACAGAGACAACGCCCCAGAGACAGCGCAGGTGGTACGATGCCAAGCTTCTTGGAGACAAAGTGCCCAGGAAGTCATGCCTCCTGGCTGAAGAGGAAGTGCTGTAGTTGCAGCATCGGATGAGCCAGCATAGGATTAAAGGTTCAGATACCAGTCATTCTTTTGGACAAAGCTTTCTGCTGCTTCTGATGTAGATGGATCGACTACAGACGATTGGGCCTTGGGTCATGCAGGTCTTGGCAGTTGACAACAATGAGAATGTGCTGAAAGTCGCCAGAAACTATTTTGGCTTTCAAGGCAGCTGAACTACAATGGACCTCGCCGTGGTAAGTCATGTGCAGTTGGGACTAACAAGAACGACTTACAACTGCAACCTTGCCAAGAATGTTGTAGGGCATGAGATGAACGATTGGCACAGCTAAGGTGAAGCCATGATAGATGATATTCACTCGGCATTGTCCAAACTATCCCGCCTAGATAAGTCGTTTGATGCAATCGCCTGATGCCGAGACACATGTGAGTGTTCTATTTTTTCTGATCAACCTTTTGAGCGTTTTTGCCACATCAAGAGCCTTGTGCTGTCACTCTTGTCTGTAAATGTTTGAGGTCACAGATGTGGGTCATAATATCCGCTTGAACCAGGAGGACATGTGCTTCTTGGGATGTGCCGAAACACTGCGGTCGCATGTCAGTGCCAACAACGAAGCTGAGCAGTGTTAGTTTGTGCCAGGACCTGCACAATGTGGTCCATTTGCTAAAGCCGAACGGGGTGCTCATGGAAAATTTGAGCACCCCATCTTTTGCTGAAGAACAAGTAGCCCTCTTCAAAGACTTTCTGGGCGACGTATCCGAAGAAGTCAGTTTCTTGATTGAGTAGAAGATCAACAAAATCCAGTGTCCTTAGTGTTCTGAAAAACATTTTATGAACTTTGCGGCTCAGGCGGACAGAATCACATTCTCCTTGGGCGGTCCTCTCCTTCTAGATTGGTCAAGCTGTGACTTGCGGAGTAAAAGGACTGCCAAGAGCGTGAAAGGCGTGAGACAGTATATTTTACAGCATGCAGATTGTGTGCCTCGCTTGACCTTGGCACTGACTTTTGCCGCACGCAGATGGTGTGGAGTGGCCTGACTCGACTATTTCGCTTGGATGATGCTGGTGAAGAAATGGTGGAGGCCAGCCACTCAGCTCAGCCTTTTTGTGCATCGGACTTTCTTTGCACGAGTTGATTGCCAAGTGCACAAAAATCAAAAACCAAAGAGGAACTGCATGCCGAAGGTCGAAGCTGAGGGTCAGGATGGCTTCTTCGTGGCTGTTCTCAGGAGCAGTTGTACAATGTTTTACACATTTTTCACCAGTTGAAGTCATAAAGAACTCCACTCATTGGTGCAGTGACAGCACTGCCCTTGTGTCCCGAGTCGAACTGGGTTCGGCAACGGACCGAGTTCGAGGTCTTCCAGTTCGCATTCGACCAATCAGGTACTGTACTCGAAATCGGGCACCGCGTTTGGGGTGTGCACGTTCGCACGTTGTGCACGTTTGAGTACACGACTCGTTTTCAGTGCGCTGTCATGATAGATAGATAAGATTGAAGGCTCTGAATAGAGGGTTTATATAGTGCCTTTTCTCAGCTTGTTTTGTCAGCGAGGAATATCAACGAGGGGTCAGACGAACTGGAGCTCCTCGTGTATACGGCGATTCGCAAGCCATGGCCCAAATGGGAACAAGGGGGCTTCTTTTGGCCTGCCACATTTTCACAAGATCGTTGCTGGTTTGATCATCTCCAACCTTTTCACTCATTGATTCATAATTGTCTGCTGTGGAGCGTGCAACATTGTCAATTTTGCCGGAATAGATGTGTCGCGTAAGCATGTTCATCCCTGGACGCAACGCCTGAACGCCGACGTGCTGTCGCCCTGGGCACTTTGTTTTCTACCCCATGACATGTGTTTCTGGGGAGATGTTTTGGCAGTGAGGCCGGAGTAGAGCTTGTTCCAAACTATTTGACTGATTCTAAATAGAATCTCCACTGCGTTCAGCATGCAATGATCAAACATGATGCTCTTTGAGACCCGCAGACATGTGACTTGACTTCACATGTGTAGAAGCCTTAGGATGGAGCAGAAGGCATGCAAGAACTAGTGGGGAGATGGATTCCTTGCTTGCGCTTCTTAGATGGATGTGGGTTGAACCTATATAGCAAAAAGTTGAGAACCCTTTCAAAATGTGTGGGGTATGTTCCATGCCTTTGACTTGCGGCTGCAGAATGTGGCGCACAGACCTGTGACCTGCAAACCCAGCTATTCACCAAAGAATGAATGACAACTGACAACCGTTTGTAATTTTCCCTTGAAGGCTCTATATGTTGTTTTGCCACAGCTACAGGGATCTGAGCTGAGGTCTGGAATCTTCTTGATATTGATCCTGAATCACCATGTCGATGAGTCGTTCTCGAATCGTTTCCCAAGTTCATCTCCTGAGAAGCTACTAGGTGGAGGCCATCGCTAGTAGGTTGGACGCCATCGAAACGAACGTAACAAAGCTTTCTAGTACCCTATCGACCGGGGAACGAGTTAGGCGGAAGCGCCTCCGCACGCCGGTGGCACTGATGGAGTTGCAAACAGCAGGAGATGCGGTGTGGGGGATCCACAGGAAGTCAGAGACATGGAAGAAGACATGCAGGAAGGCTCGAAAACACGGAATGCGGATGAATACGGAATTCTGTCGTGTTTCTATTTGCCAAAGCTGAAAAAGAAGCTGAAGAGCTTCGTACGTTGCCATCATTTTGGACGACCTGACTCTCTTCTTCTTGGTTTCAATTCAATACAGAGTATCAGCTAGCAGCTTCTTCGCAGCTATTGAAGATTGGGCCGAACGGTTTGACGGTGCAAACGAAAGGCTCTTGATGAGCTGGAGTGAAGTCACTCCTTCCGCTTTTGAACGTGGTGTGCAAGCTCGACTTGAGGTCTTTTTACGATGACACAGGGATTTATTGGGCTTTGCAGTTGCAGAAGCCTGAGGAGTCTTGGCCTCAGTTGAGCAACCGCCAAAACGTGCAATTACTAATTTGGTAAAGATGAATCTCACGAATTTGGCTACAACCTGCAAATTCGATACCTTATTCCGCAGTTTTTGGATATGTTCAGCTAGCTATGTCGACATTTTGGCTAAAACCTGCAAAAGCGATAGGCCCCCCTCAAAAGCGATAACCTCGCTGAATCATGTCATGTCCTTTGCTTGACAGTACGTTTTGGCAGACGCTCAGTTGGTCTCACAAGCAAGCTTGATTTCTCACCACAGACTTGCACCGTTAAACTACACAGCAAGGTAAGGCTTTTAACTCTTGTTGGAGCATTCACTCTATACTATGATGAGGTCAATGCCACTTTTGCGCCTTTTGCTGGCAGCGAAGGCAAGTTCTACTCAGTGGTTTGCGGTGTTTGCGACGAGCAGTTTCAGTGGACCTTGCTCTGTCCCCGTCCATTTGCAGGCTGCTGGCTCTGGGTGGACTGCCATGGTTGAATTAAGCTACTCCGAGTCGGAGGTGGGAAGCGGTTGAAACGACCATACTGCTGGTAGGCACTGAGGAGCTCAGGTGTGGAAAAGGCGCTGTGCGATGTCGAATTGATGATTTGCTCAATGATGGCAACCTGAAAGACATCATCAGGCGGGGGTGTCTGCCGTGTCCTCTTTCCGCCTGACAGCAGTGTCGAGACCTTAGATTTTCAGGTTTCATGAACCTGAAATTATCTTCTCTGGGCAATGAGGTCATATCGATCTCTTGGGGAAGCAGCTGAATCGAAAGGAACAGCCAGGACCCCAGGCGGTAGTTTCATTTTTCAGTTCAATTTAACTTATTTATACTTTAGCCAGAGATGTTTTCTCTGCAGGTCCCGACGTCTTGTGCATCGATCCACTCCAGTCAAGTGACGTCCGCAGATGACCAATGGGGTGGAGGCGCATGTCGATGCATGTGTTTTCTGCAGAACCAAAACCACTCCATCCAGCAGCTGTGAGGTGTATCTGATGTACTAGCCAACGCAACCGCGGGTTCCAGATCTCTGTTGGCCATACCACCAGGCCTGGCCTCTGCATGATGGCAACTCATATTCACCAAGTCTTCGTGCGAGGCTTGCAGCCTACCTCGCTCCGCAAAGGCGTGGCGGTGTGGTCAAGAAGTTTTTGTGCGAGGAGTGTAAAAGTTGCCTTTTTCTGCTTCTGTTGCTTGCCACTTGCTCCCGGATGCTTGTTTTACATCAAGTTTGCATCCTTCAGAGGCTCTGCAGTTCTTCTTTTGGAGGCAGGGCGTAGTCCAAAAGCTCCGCACACCGGCGATGCCATAAGGTTTCTGCACTAAGATACCGCTGACCCCCAGCCATTGTTGTTGTTGTTGTGGTTGGTAGAACAAAAGAAACTCTGGAACTTCAAGGGGACACGGTTAAGGATGTACGTATAGGGTTGAAGGCTTGAGGGAATGTTGGTTTCGAAAGTAGCTGGACTTGTTGGACTTGTTTCCCTCAAGTCTGGGTTGGTCCGTTTTTAGTGTTTTTCACGTGTTGTTCTGGAGTGGTTTTGGCGCGAACTGTTTTAATGCGAAGCCTGTTGACTTTAGTGTACGAAAACTTATGCAAGGAGAAAGAGTTTGAAACGCTAGCATGTCGGCTGAAAGATAACAAAAAATACTTGGCCTTTTTTTGCTTTTCTCACTCAACATTTTGAGGTGAGGTAGTGGGAGAGTTGATACTTTGAACATGCAGACCATTGGCCTGGCAAAGCACCCTGCGAGGTTGCTGCGGAAAGCCAGGCGAATACGCCGGCTGCTCCAGTGGAAGTAAAGGAGGAGAGAAACTACGAATCCTTGGATCAACAAAAAGAACATCTGAGAACGTATGAAAATTAATATGAAAGTATTTTTAGCCTTCCCATTTTGCAAGAAACATGGACAATCCGATGTAAAACGATCAGGAAGAAACATACGACAACGCCTCATAGCTCTGGTTTGGATGGCGAGGGGGTTTGAGTATAGACCAAACAGAGAGGTGCAGTACCTCATGGCATACTACTGTAACAATCTTTGCCCTTTGCCGGGAGAACGGTGTTTGCACCAGACACAAAAACGATAACTAGCAAAAGGACAACAAAAAGATCACGCAGCCAGGGAATGATGCTTGATGAGTTGCGATTGCATGGGTTTCTACCATGGATTGAATGGAATGAATTGTGCTCTTCGTGTCTAGCAGGTTCCACGCACCAGATGCATGCAGTGCACTGCATACTACACATGTTGCAGTTATATAGTCAAAACACTGTAAAACGATAAAGAAAAAGAACGGTGATATCAGAAGTGGTATAGGGAAATATAGAAGGTTTCTAGACAACCTCACATGGCATTTTCCACCTTTCGCCTGTATTGATGGATCATTTGATTTCATGGCTCCTAAGGGCTCAACTTGCGCAGCTGCAGGAGGCCAATAACACGAGTCGCAAGCTGTCCGTCAAGGAACGAATGGCCAGGCCTATGGTCTACGGCATATGCGGCTGATTCAGTTCTTGCAGGTTTTTAGACAGATAGGTTGCTCTCATTTGGACTACTCAAACACTTTGGTAGATTGGACACATGTGCATTGAACGTGCTGGTTGCTTTGCTACACAACACCCAAAACAAGACGGTTGCATTCATTTCCCTTGGAGCGAACGCGCGAGTTCGAGGTTGGCTGCTGCAGGCCTGCCTCCAGGTGCGGTTGGAGTGCAAATGCAAGCTGCTCGGAGGGCCTTGCGTCAAAGGATCTTCTGTCATGGCTTGGCAACAGATGGTCTTCTTTCCCGCTGTGCGATGTTCGTCAAACGGTCAAACACACTAATGATTGATGCGACTTTGACTTGATGATATCTCTTTGCAAAGCACAGTTTGTTTCAACCCCAAGGCCGATTGCGACAGAGGCAGAGGCTCCGGCCACATTCCTAGCAATGTGAACACTCAGAGTGACCAAGCATCTTCGCCAATCCTACTGCTGCACGAATGTGAATATGTAGAAAGGCGAGCTACTGAATATGCAGACTGCTGAGATGTGCTTCGAAAGTTGAGAAAGGGCTCCCCACCGCGTAGTTGTTTCCATTTTTTTGGTTCTCTTTGCAGATGAACCGCGAAGGAAGTCAATGTTTCCAATGCAACTTGAATGTTCCACTTTGGCTCAAGCGGCTCTCAATTGCAAAACAGTTCACCGTCGTGGGTTTGGCATTTGTGACAAACAAAACATGCCTGATATCGCGAAGTCCGATATCTCGCCCAATCTTGACAGGGACAAGATGTTCAACGAGCTCTGGTGGTTGAACTATTGCTTCTGTGAAGGTGTTGGCATTGGTGCGGTCGGAAATCCATTCTTTGGCGGGGAAGCAGTGAACATTTGCCTCCACTCAAAGTGTGAGATGACTGACATTGGAGATCCCTTCTGCTCCAACATCCGCGTTTGCTTGTGCCTCACCGACCAGTGCTCCCTTCCACCAGCTCCCGGCTCACCCATTTGTGTTTGCTTCAACAAAAAGCTTGCAGGTGATGATGGTTGGAGTGGACAGCAACTCTTCGACTGGAGCACGAACTTTGGCGACACCTTCTGGCTCTACTACATCTTCTGCATGGGTCTGGGATTCTCCGCTCCTCAAGCCAATGGCCGTCCTTTCTTTGCTGTGCAGACGAAGGAGCTGTGCATCAAGGGCGGAACCAAGTTGGCTATGCCCATGGAGGGTGGAAAGCTGTGCTCCGCTGTGAGCACTCGTCTTTGCTTCTGGGATCAGTGTGCCATGCCTCCAGCCGAGGGTGCGCCCATGTTTGTGTGCTTCAACTTGCTGAATCCCAAGTCGGGAGCCAAGCCCTTGGCCTATGGAGGATGAGACCATGAGAAGCTGGCTCTAGCGAACCTGGAGCCATGGTGCAACCGGTGACCGAATTAGTCGCAGTCCCAGCCTAGCAGCACCACGAAGATTTCAAGTGAAATGGTGGCTGGTCTTTGATGACATTCAATGGATCTGATTGTCAAGGATCCATACGTTCCTGCTGCAGTCTGTGACTGCTCCTTTTCAAGAGCAGTACAGAGAGCCGCAAAAATGCCTCAGCTTTGTCCCCTGTGTTCTCATGACCGATTGCCTGTGTACACATGTCTTCTTTTGCCGCCGTGCTGCAAAGCACTTCGGCCGAGGCTGCGCGGGATGTGGCACCCCTGGCACCGAGCGCTACGATGGCACCAAGTGCCGTGGCTAAGGCCGAGTGCTGTCCCACGGTGGGGTCGGAAACTCTGGGGTCGTGCCCGAGTATGCTTGACTACAACAGATGATATCCTGATCACTTTCTTGCTAATCCAACGCAAAGATCTTTGTAGAAAATTTAGTCCTGAAACGTGCATTCTGCGTTCGCCATGAGTTCACCTTGAGCTATGCAGGAGTCACCAGCAGTCTCGGTGCCAACGTGGTCGCCACCAGCCGTGCTGCAACTTGATTCAAACTACTGGCAAGTGCTGCAATTGCCTATATACAACCATCCCACCTTCCTTCCATTTGTACTTTAAAACAACTTTTGATGTTTCTGCAGATGCAAGTGACAAACTCTGTGAGCCGGCCACCAAGGCCTCCAGCTTCAAATGAAGCAGGCGAAGCAGCGAGTTGTGGATCTGATGCACCAAGTCAGTGAGTGGATCACCAGTTTTCCAGGTGTTCCAAATGGACATCCTTCAGCTGAAATCATCAGACAGTGCGCTCAGCTGGTTTGCCCGCCTGTATGGCACGATTCGACGGTCTCATTCAGTTCAATTCCCCAGAAAGTTTCCATGCGCCACCAAGTAGCGGAGCTCTGAAGGAAACTCTATTAAAATGCTTTTCAGGTACTGGAGTGCAGTTCAAGACACTGGCTACGGAGCGTGCACCCCTTATTTGACCAGACACAAGTTTTTTTCTGCTCCAGTACAATCCCTTAATGAAGCATTCATGAATTCATGATTGTGCTCCGTGCATTCTAGGCCTTATGCGTACTTGGGCGCTTTGCCGATGGTGTTGAGCCCCCAATCTCGCTGAAAAGAGTCTTCAAGACTTCCAGAGGATCTCACAAGAAAAGGAACTAAGCAACAAGAGATGAAACAAGACAGATAAGGCCAATGCCTTCCTTTCAAAGGGGATTCCATTCCTTTCTTCATTTGTTTTTTCTTTTATGTTCTGATCTTTTGATCGACACGACCTGAATTTCCTGAGTCCCTGATTCCCCGAGGCCAGGATTGACTCGTCGTGCAGATTTGCCTCGAGTCTGGATCTTGAGGATCCCACATTTTAAAGCAACATGAGAATACATGAGAAAAGTATGCAGCAAACATTGTCCAAGGTAACTGCGGAGACACCGCTCTCTGTTCCAGGACTGCCACCACTGCTTCATGTATGACTTTGATCCAACCAGTTTGTGGCCAGGATGCACTAGTATGGCTGGCATGCATGCCAGTATGCCGTCTCATGAAGCTCCTGCCGCCGAGCTCCAAATGTCCAAAGTTTGTCCGTTCTTGTCTGGTGGCTCCCAAGTCGACTTGGCAGCCGAAAGCGTGATCTCACCGTCAATTAAGGTCTCCAGATATGGCCCTCTCCAGAGTCCTATGTTGTCGTCCTCTGCTCCGAACCCAAACGCGAACTCTGCCAGTGCAGATCTGGTCAGCTTGGCGGCCAAGGTGCCATTGAGCTCTGCATCCATGGGTGATTTGGTGGCGGCCATGCGCGAAGTTGTACGTGTCTAAGATCAGTGCGGGCTGCTTTGCACGGTGTCCACTGTAGGTAATCTACTCTACAGTAGGCCAGGTCAAGAATCTTCCAGTCAACTTCTCTACCAAAAAAGGGTCATATCCTTCCATCCTTCAGGGACATTGAGTCGAGTCCTTGACCCATGGCTATGTCAAGGGAGGCCTGGAGGCCATTGCTATTAGGTTGGAGGCCATCGCTTCTAGGTTGGAGGCCTCGCCATATGTGTATATATCACCAAGCGGACCCGCAATCACACGCGTGAGACGTGTCTGGTCTTGTACCAGGCACTCTGGCCTATATAAATACAAAAGATCCCCAAATGTGAGACCATGCAAGCAACCTAGAGCAAAGGGACCTTCCATGAAGAAAGAGTCCGGCCAGCACCCAAAGCGAAAACGCGAGCGAGATGCACAAGAGTGTCATTGCCGAGAAAAGCAGCTTGAGCCCTGTGGCATCGTGCGGCCAGCAGCCTTCGCAAGGATATACAAATACGAGCCAGGGAACAAAGAAACTCTGTCATCATGAAGCAGCAGTGAAGCTGCGAGCCGAATCTTATGATGCAAATCAAAGTATGTAGCCAGCTGAGGGTCACCAGCAAAGGATCGCCCTTGTTGGTGAAACAACACCGCAAGTTCACAAAGTGAAGTGACCTCGGCGGAGCCCTCGATCCAGCGTAGCTCTCTGAAAAAAGCACAAACTTCTGCCCAATCTGCATTTGTACCATCCCACTTTGGAGGAACGTCCAGCTGTAGGGGAACCTTAGGCTTGCATGAGAAAAATGAAATCTCCCAATTCCATGCCCACTGCGGAAAAATTTTCTGGCAGCTCAAGAAATCAAAGTCCTCTGCAGGTTCCTCTTCAGCGGTTTGTTGAGGGCCATCCGTGGGCAGCAGAGCATGCAACCTGGAGAGCCACCTCTGGTGGTGGAGAATGCCAAGGTCTGCTTGTTGTTGCACTCCAGGGTGAACCGGTGACACAGCCGCTGCAAACTCCTTGGCTGTATGATCCGCCTTTCTGTTGCATCGAATATGTTGTATGGTTGTGCCTTTACTCGCAGCCATGGATGGTGTGATGTGTTCAACTGGAAGAAGGTGTTCATAACAGTGAGCCGGAATCCATGTGATTTGGAATGGCAGACAGCTCCACCACTCCTGACACAACCATGAATCATCGTATGTACCATGCTGGAAGACATACTGGGCGGCTTCAACAGCACTTTGACAGTCGCTGTAAATATGGACCGTGTATGGTGTCACAATGCATGCCTGAAGCACGGCCGAAAGTTCCGCCGCATAGGAGTTAAGGCAAGGATACGTCACCATGCCTTTGCCGCGAACAGGGAGCACTCCACAAAACAGAGCCATCGATCCACAGCTCAATCAAAACATCAGGCTGAAAATCACTTGTAATGCCACTTGGCTGAGAAGACAAAAGGCGTCTCTTGGTTGATCAACGGCGCAAGATATGGGGTGCGTTGACAGTATCTGAAAAACTCAAAAATGGTCGAAACAGCACATGCAAGGACAGGGTCGGTTCGGTGAGGTTGGCCATGTATGGCTTGGATCAGCCACTTGGCTCTCCATTTGGGTCGCCCTGCCCAAAGCGCCCGAATGACGGCAGTTTGGATCAGAGTAAGTTCCTTCTTAGGGATTTGGGAAATGTGAGCACCAAAAGACAACCTGGCAATAGCCTTAGAGCTAATCAGCATTTTTCTGACATGAAGCGGCACGGCAAGGGCTCCAATGTGCTCGATCTCAGCCAAGACACGTTTGAAGGTCCCTGGGTCAAAGTGGAAAGCACGCCTATAGCTGGTGTACATCTTCGCACCAAGAACCTCAAATTCAAGCTCAACCGGGTATGATGGAAATAAGGCTTTCAGAGCTTTTCGACTCTTGGCGTGGGAAGACCACATCGACGATTTTATATACTTCAAGAGCCCTAAAGTTTACGCTTCTTACTCTGTTCCAACATGACTCTTGCGGTGTACAGAGGGTCGGATTGATACGTCCATTTTGCCTGGCAGGTACAGCGCGGTCAGATTTCCAAATCCGTTTAAGTTTATAGTACTTATAAGGCTTTCAGGTGTGGAAATCTGACCACATGTTGCAGGTAGGATTCTAAGGGGAAAAGGTTTTAGAAGTCAAGAAGCGCAACTTTCGGCGCCAAGCCAGCCGATAGGCTAGGCTTGAGCCTTTAGAGCGAACAAAGTGAGCCAAGGCGGTGTGGAGAGGGGGTGTGGGGGGGGGGGGGGGTTGTTGAGAAGGACCTTTTGAGAGGGTGAACCCAGAGCTTGGTGGAGGAGAGCACTCCAAAGCGAGGGTCAGAAAAGCAGTGAAAATGGGGTCTGGTGATGCGAGTGACGCAATGGACGCCGAGTAGTGCATCATTAGCGTCGTGAAGGCCTGAAAGCCTTTGGAGGCTATTTGGACAATGGGCATTGAGCAATCGAGTGGAGACAGGGACCCACGTACAGAGCAGACCGCAGCCGCATGTAGGATACGAGTTCCCAGGACAACCCGTGACTCGCGAAATCCATAGAGAACAGAAAGTGGCATGAGTTCAAGTCCATGAACTTGGATTGAGTTTCGGTGGGATGTGTGCGAGGTTGACTACATATCCGCATAGGGCTCCTGCCCCCTAGCAAAAACTATACTTTCGCCATGTCCTCGGTCGAGTGGATGCTTCTCGCGGCGTCCACACGCGTCGAACGTTTTCCGGCTTGCCGGCGCAGATAGATAGATAGACAGACAGATAGATAGATACATAGATAGATATATAGACAGGAGCTAGAGATAGAGATAGAGAGATAGAGAGATAGATAGATAGATAGATAGACAGACAGACGGACAGACAGACAGATAGATAGATAGATATATCTATATGCTACTGACTCATGACGTCGCCTTTTTGCTGGCAGCCCTGGCCGAATCCAGTCAGCCTGGGTCCACGGCACAAAGATCTACACGCGCAGGTGCCAAAGTCAAGGCCTCTGAGTGAGAAAAGCACAGAATTGACAAGAAAGAGAAGAATAAAGAAGGTGTTTGGATCGTTTAATAAAGGCTTTTTGAAAGAAAATAGACTGTGTCTTGGATCGAGCCAGAACATGACTGACTCAAGTCCAGGCATGTGCATCGATAGGGGCGCAAATCCTCACTCCTTGCTAGCCCAAGCTACTCGTGCTGGACCTCCCCTTCTGCGCCGTGGGATCAAACGTCCGTGTCCCGGCTAAGACGTGCCCGTTCACTCTTCCACGAACGCCGCTTTGGACGTGCCGCAGTATGCATTGCAAACTTCAAAAGCTCCAAATGTAACAAACACATAAAATGCTTCTTTTCAAACGCATGCCGTA